CCAGTTCCAGGGCATTTGAGACCCTCTTCTGGCCTCCACAGGCATTGCATGTACGGGTACACTTACATACATGCAGGCCAAACACTCACACATAAATTTTAAAAGCAAATGGAATTTTAGCATCCATATATATGTATATAAATATATATACATATGTATATATTATATATATATATATTTTGTGTGTGTGTGTGTGTGTGTGTGTGTGCGTGTGTACGTGTGAGGTCAACCTCAGGTGTCATTTCTCAGGTACCATTCACCTTATTTTTTTGAGACAGAGTCTCTCATTGGCCTAGAGCTTGCTGATTCCTCTACACTGGCTGACTGGTCAGCCCAGGGATCTTCCTGTGTCTGCCTCCCTGGGGACAAGATTGAACATGTATACCGCCACTCCTGGCTTGTTGTGTGGATTCTGGAAGTTGCACTGGAATGCTCATGCCTTTGCTGCAAGCACTCACCTGAGCCAGCTCCCGGGCCAGCAGTGTTCTGTTTTTCACAATAGCCTCCTCCTATGTGTCACAGAAGAAAGTCACTGGAAACCAACCATCTGTTGCTAAAATAGCTAGACTTTATGTTTGCTTTTCCTTCAGGTTTACTTAAGACCTGGTGCCCAGCTGGCTGGCCCATTGCCTTATCAGAGTGTGTTGGAAGCCCATCCAAATGCGATATTGTGTGACTCAAAGTAGCTAAAATAAAACAGAGTTGATCAAGCAAAGTCTCCTGTTTGTTCAGAAAAGGACAATAAAAGAGGCCGTGGATATTTATTTATCTTTTGACAAATGTATGGCTTGAGAGGCATGCTGTGTTTTTATTCTGTGGACACACCAAATAGCCCTTCTTAGAAATGATCAGGGGGAATTCAAATAGGCAGAAATCCTCTGGTCAGCATAAACTTCAAGCTAGCAATTCTCAAGACAGCACAGATCTTTTTTGTAGTGTCAGCCATGGTCAGGAGCCTGTGTTGTGGCATTTGGAAGAAGAATTAGAGCAGTTAGCTAATTACACACTTGAAAAACGACAAGCCACTTGAACATTCAAAAGTCAGACTTCAATCCAAGAAGAAATTGGTCTAACTTTGAACTCTAAGGTTGTTATTTTATACTGGATTTCAAGCACTTCCTGTTAAACATGAAAAATTTGCTTTATCCTCCCCCTCCCCACTTAACTTTATCTTGGGTATTTTGCTATTCTTAGTGCTTGAAGTGTTCTTGATTTGAAAGGTGGAGGGACTAGGTTATGTATTGATTATATTAACTCAATAAATAGCCTTGCTTTGCCCTCCGTCCCCCCCTCCCCCTTCCCCCCTCCTTCCCTCCCTCTCTCCCTCCTCTCTCTCTTTCTCTCTCTCTCTCTTCCTTTCTTTCTTTTCTTTCTCCCTGTCTCTCTCCTTCTTTCTTTTTGATAGTGTTTCATTGTCTAACCTAGGCTGTCCTGAAATTCTTTATGTAGCCCAGGCTGGCCTTGAATCTATGGTAGCTCTGTTTCAGCCTCCTGAGTGCTGAGATTCCAGGCATGCATCACCACGCCTGGCTGCTGTGTAAAGTTGCAAGTAAACTTTCCTTTCTAATTAGGGACCATCAGTCAAGAAGAAACCTATTGGCCAGGAGCCTCTGAGGTTTCAGGAATCTTTTAAAAATATTTTAATTTTGAGAATTTCATACAAGGCTATTGTATTTGCATATTATTTTCATCCCTCCCAGTTTCCCTTCAACTCTTCCCGTGTCCCCCCAACTCTGTCTCAAGTTCCTGTCCCCTTTGATTATTATTGTTACGTGTGTATGTGTGTGTGTGTGTGTGTGTGTGTGTGTGTTTATAACTGAGTTTATTTAGTGGTGCTCTTGTGTTCCTGCCCATTTGGGATTAGATAACCTCTCAGGGGGCTAGGCTCTGGAGAAAACAGGTTCTTCTTGTCCTTCAGCATCTGTTGATTGCCCATAGTAACCCTTCATCTTGAGGTGGGGCATGGTTAAATTTCCCACATCCACTTTGGTATATCAACTGGCTTTGCGTTAGGCAGATGTTAGATGCTGTGGTGATCTCACTGGGGTGGCTTCCCTGTCATGTCTAGAACGCATTAACCAGCAGCAGGTGCCTCGTCCCTCAGCCTCAGGCTCATACATTCTTTCTGCCCCCTGTCCCAAAGTCACTTGTATGTAAAACTTGGAAACCCAAGGGCTGAGTATGTAGCTCAGTGATAGAGTGCTTGCTTATTCTGTGCAAGGCCCTAGGCTCTCTTTCCAATGCTGCCATTACAAGAACAACAAAAAGAGAGGAAACTTTGAAGCCCTTCTACCAATTGGGAAGAGAGAACCATTCCTTTGCACAGTGAATAGAGGGTCAAACAGCAGCACCTCAGAAGTCCCTGGTTGGTATAAGAACCCATAATTTCTTTTTATTTGTCTTTTTGAGACAGAGTCTCCCTGTAGCCTCAGCTGGCCTGGAACTCACTTCGTAGACCAGGGTGGCTTTGAGCTTACAGAGATCCACCTGCCTCTGCCTCCCGAGTGCTTGGATTACAGGCGTGCACCACCATGCCCGTCTCAAGAACCCATAATTTTAACATTTGGAGAACAAGATTTTTCTAGCTTTGCTATTGATCAAAAAGTTAGTCATGGAAAAGTGGGCCATTGTGTTCAATGAAAGGGTTACAGATTTCATATTTAAAATTTTTATGACATGTATTTATTTGCATATTTGTGTGTGTGTGTGTGTGTGTGTGTGTGTGTGTGTGTGTGTACATGAAATTGGATTCGACCACACACACACATACCTTGGCACAAGTATGGAGGTCAGAGGATAATTAATGGAAGAATGTTCTTCCCTTCTACCATGTGGGACCCAGGGGTCGAATTTAGAACATCCAGCTTGGTTGCAAGCACCCATACCAGCTGAGCTAACTCAGTAGTTGCTTAGATTTTATATATGATCCATTGAACACTGAGTATGGATTTGTATGTGTATGTATGTGTTTGTATTTCTTGTTATTGATTTAGTAAGCTAAATTATTTAACCTATAGAAAAGAGTTTCTAGGTTTAGAGTTTCCTTGAACAACAACTGGCTGTTGGGATCTTCTCTACAATTTTAGTTTTTTAATCTGGGTTCCATGTGCAAGTCAGCAATGCCGTCAGCTCACGTGTCATCTTCTGTGTTTCTTCTCTAGAAGAACTGATTCTTGAATTTAGATGAACTGTTGCTTCTGGGAAATCCGAGGAGAGGGGCAGGAGGCAGAAAGTACTGCTGAGAATGTGCCCAAATATCAGCTGAACCAACTGGAGATGGTTCTTATACGTGAATACCAGGGAAGGAGATAGGAGGTTGCAAAAAAAGAGAGATACCCTGTGACACACAGTCTAGAGATTCTTGACCTCTTGACATCCTCACTAATAGTGTTTTTGACTCAATTGCCTTTGTTGTGAAGAACCAGCTTGCACACTGAAGGATGCTTAGCAGCATCCTGGCCTCTATCAGGTTCTAGTAACAACCCTGCCAACCAGTCCTGACAATCAAAAATGCCTTCAGACATTGGCAAATGTCCCCTGGGGTGTGAGGCACAAAATCACCACCAATTAGGAACCACCAACATTAACCCTTGGGATACAGGTACATGCTAAGTGTGTGATGGGTTCATTCATTTCACATAGGCACATATTTTCATATCAATCCCACGCTGATGGTTGATAATTCTTTCTAATGTACTCTTATTTTTATCCCCAGTTGAGATGAACTTTCTCCCATAGGTTGTCTGGCCCCTGAGGTCACTAGTTCCTAGGTCTTCCCTCAGTTCCAGATTGAAACTTCTGTCCTCTCTTCTACCTGTACCCTGTCCCAGGTACCCTGGCTTCTACCCACAGCATTGCCTGGAATAAACTGGTAGGCTGCTTTTAAGTTGTTTTGCTTCAAAAGCTTCCTCTCCCCCCGCCCCTTTTTTTTTGAAATCATTTTGTTTAAAACCACGGTTGCTCAAAGCTTCTCTCTGATGGTTCAGTCCCTTGTTCCTCGCATGGTGATTAGCATCTCACTTGTTCAAAATGGCCCATCAGCACAAATCCTAGCAACTTAATACTCTGTCACATTTTGGTTCCTTCAATTCTCTTCCAAATTCTCTTTCCATTCATGTATAATTTTATGGCCCAGTGGCTACAGGAAGCTGTAGGTTGCTTTGCAAATCAGTTTTCAAAACCATCTTTTTCTCCAATCTGTAACCTGGGATTCTGACTCCAAATAAACAGTTTTTATTCTTTTTCCATTTTAAAGCCAGGCATAGAAAGAAGATGGGGGTGGGTTGAGGACAGGGGCGATGGGATGGGTTGGTCTCTTTCATGTTGCAGTTTTATGAAGTTTGTCTCTGGTATCAAGTGTTATTAAACATCTTGGTATTCAGAGAACAGAATGACCACTGGACAGCAGTACACAACCACAGACTATTTCTAAGAAGAGTTACTAAGTCGCTGACTGAATATGCTTTTCTCTTTCAACCACTAAGATGTAGGAAACAAGTAATGTTACCGTAGTAACATTACGGTTTATGGTGTCTACATCAAGCAAGTTTGGTCAGGAACACATAAGAGCTCATTGTACATTAAGGGGAGTCACAGACAAAGAGGAGCCCAGGAAAAGCTAGAAGTACCTTATAAGAAACACTTGCTGATTTCTTTTCCAGTGGGGGTGGGCCGGAAAAGACTGTCTTGAAGGAAAGCAGGTATAGGTTTTGAGATGTAACAGCTCCAGGTCAGAAACGGTAATCTGAGTGTCATCGCTGAAGTATTAAAGGAAAAGTAAACACACACCACACACCTACACTTATTCATACTAAGGTAAGCCCAAAGTAGTTAAAACACAATTTATATTTATAGTTTATAATAGAGGAAGGTCAGGATAGGAGGCCTATGTTTTCTGTATATTTAAAAAAATAGTTATGGACAGTCTTGTACTGGTTCTAAAATCCCAGTTTAGTAAAAGATGGTTTTTAGATTTTAATGTGATTTTTTTTTCCTTTAAGCTTGAAGAAAAACTCCAAAGAAAGGCCCACGTATCCAGAGCTTATGGTGAGTACGAACAATGTGGTAATAGGACATGTATTACTAAACTAACAGCTAGTGACGTAACCATGACTGGAATTATGATTAAATAATTTTGGAAGAGTTGATTCATTGAAATATGAGTGATGTGAATTGGACTCAAGAAAGAGGTTAGGGCCCTTCGTCATTATTTTTCCTTTTTAAAATTATTGTTACATTTTATGTGTTTATGTGTGTATGTATGTGGGTGTGTATGCCCAAGCACACATGTGGAGTCAGAAGACAACTTGCAAGGGTCAGTTCTTCTTCCATCTTGTGTGTTCTGGAGATTGAACTCAGGTGATCAGACTTAGCAGCAAGCACCTTTATTTGCTGAGCCATCTCGCTGGCTCTAATCATCCTTTTATAATGCAGGCTTGGAATATGTTACCATTCTTAGTAATGTTTTCCAGGCTGATAAACTTACCATAATGTGGAGTAAAGTATCATAAGTTACTACTATAAATTTAAGGGAAGTGTGATCTTAGAGGCTTTAGTGTCATAAACGTCTAAGGCATGCGGCTGATTGATTTTTTTTTTTATAATGTATTTTGGATACATTAGATGAACCTCCTCTTGCTTGCCTTTTGGTCTTCATTTTGGTAGAAAAAATACAGTGAATCATTATTCGTTTGAGTTAGACTGTTTCTAAATTTATTTTTCTATCAGTGAAAAATGGATAAAAATAAACCCTCAACATTGGGGGTGGAGAGATGGCTCAGCAGTTAAGAATACTAGTTGTTCTTGCAGAAGACCCGATTGGAATCCCAGCACCCACATGGAAGCTAACAACTGTTCATAATTCCAGTTCCAGGGGATCTGATGCCATCTTCTGTCCTCTGCGGGCATTGCATGACACGGTGCACTTACATACATGCAGGCAATACATGGATACACATAAAATAAAAAATAAGTCTTTTAAAAACAAAAAAGTCAACATTGTTGCTTTAAAGTGTCCCTTAAATTGTGGCAATTTGTGTGTGGGTGTAAGTACACCACATGTATACAATGCTCACGGAGGCCAGACGAGGGCATCAGATCCCCTGGGACTGGAGTTACAGATGATTGTTAGCTGGCATGTGGATGCTGGGAACTGAACCTAGGTTCTCTGCAAGAGTAGCCAGTGCTCTTACCCTCCAAGTCATCTCTCTAGCCCCTTATTTTTATTTTTTATGTGTATGAGTGTTTTGCCTGCATGTATGTAAGTATACCACATTTATGTGATGCTTATGGAGGCCAGAAGAGGGCATCAGATCCATTGGAACTGGAGTTAGGCATGGTTGTTAGCTGCCATGTGAGTGCTGGGAACCAAACTTGGGTCCTCTGAAAGAGCAGCCAATGCTCTTAACCACTGAGCTATCTTTCTAGCCCATGGTAATTGGCATTCTAAGCTAATTATGGAGGATTCTTCGGTACAGATGCTCCAACCTGAACTTGGCAATGTTTTGCTCTACCTAAGCTGCTATTGATACATTTTGGAGGGAAATATAAAATTTAGCCTATATGCATATTTGTCACCCTCTCCCGAGATTTGTCTCAATGATCAAGGTTTTGCTTTTAGGGGTAAAAGGGAGTTGCCCTAGTTTCATTTCTGTCACTGTGATAAAATATCCTGACAAAAAGCAATTTGTGGGAGAAAGCAATTTGTGTGTGAGCTCACAGTTCCAAGATATAGACCACCATTGCAAGGAAGTCATCATAGCAGGGGTGTGAGACAGCTGGCCATACACATCCATAGTAGGAGCAGAGAGAGAATCAGTTCACACATGCTCACTTGTGGGCTTGTACCCAGCTGGCTGTCTCCACCATGATACGGTTCAGGACCCCCTGCCTGGGGAATGGTGTCACAGTGGGTGTGGTCTTCCCACATCAACTGACTTATTAAATCAATCCCCCATAGACAGACATGCCCACAGGGCAACCCAATGTAGACAATCTCTCATTGAGACTCTCTTCCCAGGAGATCTAGGTTGGGTCAAGTTAACAATTAAAGCCAGCCATCATCGCAGGAGAGTTATGGTACTGTACAGTTTCAAAAGAGAGATGAACAAGTGCCCAGATCCTTTCTTACTAGCAGCAGACATGGAGTAATTGCTCCTGTCCCATCCTACCCACAACCGCACTGTCTAGACCAGTTGAGTGCATCACTGAAGTGTAGGCTCTCAGACTTCTGAATGGTGTTTCTTACTGAATAGTGTGTTGAGAAGGCTGAGGCATTGGGAAAGTACCATTTGGAAATGTCATCTGCTAGAGTTATAGAAGGGGGTCTGGGGGATGGCTTAGTGGTTCAGAGTGTGTCCTGCTCTTGCAGAAGAGCTAAGTACCTTCCCCAGTACCCACTTTGGGTGACTCAAAACTACATATAACTTCAGGGGATCGTCTGGCCACTGAGGGCATTACACTCATGTACACATACCCACATACAAACACACACATATGCATATAACTAAAAATACAAACATAAACTCTCAAAAAAGGATGACCTGTGTGACAGTCTTAGAGAAGCTCACGATGTGTCATTTCTTATGGATGATTTGGTTTCTTTAAACCTGTCCCATTCTCTAATTAGATCAATTGGAGTCAAGCCATCTCTTTGAGCCTGTTTTCCTCTTTATAATAGCAGTACCTAGTGTTCAACGTGCAGCAACTTTATTCAACCAGGACCTACAGTTGAGGAAGAAAACGAAAAGTTGTGTGATGTTTGAGAAATCTTGACATTCTACATGCTTGGGTTGAATATTTGTTCCTGGACTTTTGTTTTTTACAAAATGACCCGTTAGAGGCCTTTCCAGGTCTGGCTGCCATTTTTTGCATGCTGGGACATAACATTTAAAAGTTAATTTCACACAAAATGTGACAGATTAGCCAGAGTGATTCCCATAGGAGCCCATGCAGCTTGGAATCCTAAAGCCTACCAGTTTTATAACTAATTTCAGATACAAGAATATTTTCTCTATCTTTCCAGCTATTTTAAATGTAGAACATTTTTTCCTTCTGAGCAACCTCTTATCAAAAGTTTCATCAGGAAACATTTTAGAAAAAAAATAACATACATTGGCAGCTGGTGTTGAAGTCTTACCCTCCTGCTACAGCCTAACAAATCCTGTGGAGATTTTTGGTGTGTATGTTAATGTTAAGATCCTGTGAGCACCCCTCCCCGCCCCATGGCATTAGTGTTTGTGGTACTGGAAATGGACTTTCCTTTTAAGACCATAACTATTCCCTGCTTTCTTGTGGAATTGAGGTTTTTTAATGGAAACTCTGAGTCAAAACTCTCTCACCTCAGCATTAGACAACGTGTGCTGGGACACTATTGTTTCAATTTTTAGGAATTTGTGAAGAGGTAGGAAGGGGAAAATGATTGTTTTTCTTCAGATAAAGGATGGTATTATAATCGACGCTCCAACCTAGCCAGATATGTACTGCCCACAGGCATCTCAGGTTTCTCCCAAACCTGTGGTGTGTGTGTGTGTGTGTGTGTGTGTGTGTGTAGTATGTAAAGGACTAGATGCATGGCTGCATGTTTACTTGTGTATATACACATATGGAAGCCAGAGATTGACACTGGGTATCTTCTCGATTGCTTTAGTTACTGCAGCCTTATTCAATACACAAAAGCAAAAAGAGCCATGTGGCTATGTTCTAATAAAACTCCATTTACAAGTCAGACTGGGAATTAGATTTGGCTGGTGGACATAGTTTGATGACCCCTGCCTTAGATGTTTGCCCCTAGAAATGGTAACTAGGTCATTCAGATAATTGCTCAGTGAAGTGATTATGTTCTCCAAATACTTAAAAAAGTTGATCTATTTTTATTTATGTGTATGAGTGTTTTGTGTGCATATATAGAAGTGCATCACATGCATGCAATGCCCTTGGCAACCAGAAGAGAACGTTGGATCCCCTGGAACTGCAGTTACAGACAATTGTTAGCTGCTGTGTGGGTGCTGGGAACCAAACACATATCCTCCGTAAGAACAGCCAGTGCTCTTATTCACCGAATCATCTCCCCAGCCCCTCTCCAAACACCTTAGACGTTCTAGATTTAAGTTCCAGTGTGAAAAAGAGCCTGAACCCACAGAAACCTTGAAGTGTGCACATGCGTTGTTTGGGAGACTTGTTAGTGATCATGGCTTGCCCCTCTGCTTCTGGCCGTTACTCCGTGAATCTCCATGCTCCCTCCCAACATCCTAAATGGTACAGAGTCCTCCCCCCTCGGACTTGGCTCTCCTTTGGGAAACCTACCCCGGGACTGTGGCCTGGGGAGTATTTGTAGTACCCCTCCAGGTTGCTGCCGTTGCTGCTCTAGTCCATTGCTTAGAGAAGACATGGAGTTTCTCACAACCCTCTTTAGCTTCCAAACCTCACCCAAGAAGGCTAGTTATACCATGTTGGCCTGTCTTCTGTCTCTGGTCCTCACAGTATTTTCTCAATCTGGGAATAAACTGGAAGATACCCGAAGAATACTTTGTTTAAGTTAAGGGCTTCAGATCAGGTTATTTAATTCATTCACAGACTTAGGCTCCGTTTACTGAATCACTAGATGCAGCACAGGAGGCAGCCAAGGGCTGGCAGGCATTGGACCCAGTCATCAAGACAATCTGAGGTTTGGCATCTTCTGTTTTGATAGTAAGAAGCTTTTTAAGCACATTAAAAGATCTCTAAATGTCAAGAGGATGTGGGAAAGCTAATAAGTATGATGGTTGAAAAAAGAAAACAAAACCTTGGTAAGTGTGCTGCATAATGGTCAGTAATTGAAAGTGGTATTGGTGTCTGGCAAATGGGAGACTGGAGGATGAGGGACCTTGAATCTAGAACTTCAGATTGGGTGTAAGGCTCTGAGCCAGCACCTAACCCATATCCTCTGATGGGCAAAAGCAGATCTTTCCATTTTTTGAGTCATGATCTTCAACAGTGACCACCTACTTTCTTTTGGGTTTCATTTCTTATTTCCTCCACTGCATTGTTTCCTGAAACTTCCATGGGTGGGCATTTAGTTCCCCACAGAGCTGACTCATCCAGCCCTCTACTGTCGGGTTTCAAGCACGTATAATTAGAAAACCTGTAGCTAGGCAGTATGAAGGTTGTAAACCAAATCCCTTGTCAGGAAAATAGAGTGAGTCCTCTACTATCTGCCTGGGAAAACATACTGAACAGCTCAACTAGTCACTGCAAACAGGAACAGTGGAAATCGGAGATCTGGGTATGGTAGGAGAGGTGGGGTACCTGAAAAGATTGCCTTTTGGGGTTTGGGTTTATTTGCTTGGTTTCTGTTCCCAGCATAAGGACTAGGGAATGTCATCTGATGTATCTCTCTCTAGAGAAGTAAGTCTCTACTGGAACGGCCCAACACTTAACTGTAACCTAACTAAACTATTCAGGAGGATTGTTCTGATACACAGAAAAATGGCTTGCTTGCTTTCCTCGACTTGCTTAGAAATGTGTGACCTCTAGACCAGGCTGGCCTTGAACTCACAGAGATCCGCCTGCCTCTGCTTCCCAAGTGCTGAGACAGGGTTTTCCTGTAGCACCAGATGGCCTGGACTTGCTACATAGACCAGACTGGACTTGAACTCACAGAGACCTGCCTGCCTCTGCTTCCCGAATGCTGGGACTAAAGGCATGTGCCACCAAACCCAACTTTCCTTTAAAAATTTTAATCTCTGAGTTGAATGTTCTCTGACATACCAATAGCTTGGCAGTCTACGCTATTTTGTGACTGGATCAATTCTTCATCAAGACAGACAAAGTATAACTCTCAACCGTGGGTGTGGCTTTAGAAAATGGCTGTTTCAGTTCAAAGTACTTCTCCAAGGTCAAAGGCAAAGTTACCTTTTTTGCTCATTTAGGGTTCAGCAAAGTCGGTACCATGTTCTGCCACTGTTTCCATAAAGTAGGAGTCTATAAGAATTTCTAATTATTTTACTATCATAGCAGTCTAACATGACTTTATAAGGGACAGAGCTGTTTCTAAGTCAGAGCGTTGGATGATCTTTGTCAATCTTTGTATTTTGCTATAATGAACTTATATACATACGTGCATATGTTTTTTAAAGTAATAGGTTCTTTGTATTGGGAGCCTAGAAAAACCAAATGGGAGGCAGCCAAGAGTTATCTTTAAAATACGCACATCGCTAAATGTGCGCTTGATTTTTCAAGGGGTTAGAGGAATCCAACATGTCCCAAAAGGGATGTTGATGTTTATTAAACAAATTGATTAGTTTGCAAATCTTGTCTATTATCAATGTCAAATATTAATACCATCTTTTTCCTTCTCTTCCCCAGCAACATTCATTTTTCACTCTACACGAATCCAAAGCAACAGATGTGGCATCTTTTGTAAAACTGATTCTTGGAGACTAAAAACCAATGGACTTAACTGGCTGAGCCTACTGTGGATTGGTGGGTTTATGGGGTGAAGTGAGTTCACTACCAGCACCAATAGAAAGTCATCTTTGAGATCGCTGAACCCTGTTTCTTCAAGGGTTGTTTTCTCCCTATTTTTTTCTTTTTCCTCTCCTAAGGGGGCCTTGGAATCTCTAGCATAGAATGAACTCTCTAGATGGATGAAATATGATAAAGGCTTAGGACTTGAAAAGGTGATTAAATATTTAATGACATGTCATATGAGTCCTTATGCTTCTCAGATTTCTGGTGTTCTTTACAGAATGAGTGCATTGGCCCTGGCAAAAAGGTGCTACAGTAGTGATGGAATTGTAAAGTAGATTTGTAGTGTATCCCAGTTATTTTAATATTTATGTTTCAGCGCTTGGTTGGAAAGATCCCATTTTATGCAAGAAGGGAGATACAGAAGACAAAGTTGGCAATATTTATAGGGCTTTTATTTTGTAAGTTCAATTGTGTCTGTGGTCCAGAAGAAATTATTTAATATGCATCTTTAAGACTATTATAAAAAATCTCCAAAAAAGAAAAAGGAGCTCTTCTTGTGAAGTGTATGTTACAGTTGTGGTTACCACCACATTCCCAAACTTCGACTCAATCCTGGACAATCGCCACATCTTTAAGTGAAATGTCAAAGTGTCTTGGTCATTTTCTTTCTCCAACTTTGAAAAACATAAAAGTTACTTGTATCACAGCTCAAAGAGTGAAAAACAGTGGTTCTCTTGACATTTGTGGTCTGGAATTAGCAGAAAATGAAATTTGTGGAAAGTGATGTGATCTCTCACTCTGTCTCTATCTCTGTCTCTCTTGCTTGTATGTATATATATATTTGTCAAGTCTTACCAACTGGCTTTTGTGAACACCTATATTTAGTAGGAAGGGCATCTGTCAGTCATGAGGGGAGATAAGGCAAATCAAGGAGAGAAATGGTGCCTTCTGTTTTTTGTCCCTCAGTGGGTATACCCCAGGGACTGCCTTCGTAATTCACGTACAAGCCACTTCGCGTTGTTTGTTTTCATGTTCAACGAAGAAGCCTTATTATTAGTGGAAGGGTCACGGTAGAAGACAGGAAGACAGCATCTCAACGAAATGAAAATCTAATGGGGAAAATTAAATTGCTTCCTAGGAACAGACTATCCAGTTTTACAGGCTCAGGCATCACCACATGTTTTATAGCATCACAGAGTATATAGCTCTGCCTTAAAGTCCTATCAGGTTAACGAAACAACCAAAAGTCATTTCTTGTTGCTGAAGGCAAAGCAGGCTTTCTAGTTTGAGGTTCTTTGGTTCTCTAGGATTAAGGAGTGTTATGATTGGCAGGGGAAAAGGGTGTAGACTGTTACTAAAGAGCTAGGAACCATCACTTTGAGTCAGTGTGTGAATATGGAACCACTATTAGACTTTACAAAGACAGAATACTGATTAAAAGGGAAGAAAGAAAACACAGAGTTTCCTCCTTGCCTGGAGATAACCAGCCTGGGAAGACTGCTTCTTGGATGCCTCTCTTCCTTTCTTTCTGGGTTTGGAAGTGCAGTAGAGAATTTTTCATTAGATTCTTTTGATCTTCATGATTCTTGAGTAGGACACTGGCCTTGAGCATGCATGATGCTCGCACAGTCTCCTTTTTATTCTGCTCTAGGGCTGGGGAGACAGCTCAGTCAGTAAAGCATGAAGACCTGCATTAAGATTCCTAGAACCCACAGATGCCTGGTATTGCGGCACAAGCCTGTAATCCCAGAGATGGTGAGATGGGGGGTGCAGACAGGTAGACCCTGAAAGTTCATAGGTCAGTTAGTCTGGGTCCACATGGCAAACTTCCAAGCCAATGAGAGATCTGCCCCAAACAGAAGGTGGAAGGCACCTGAAGACTAACACCTGAGCTTGCCTCTGACTTCATATGCATGCCTCACTCCTTCCACAGGAACACGTACACACACACACCACACACACACACACACACACACGCAAGCACACTAAAAATAAAAAGATACCTGTTAGATTCTACACAGCTTCCCCTGCTTTGAAGATATACCTGTTTCATTTATTACCAGCCAGAAATGTGGCATTATCCTTGTGATTGTGACCAGTTTCTTACTTACCTTTCCAAATCTGAAAGTTCTTCTCACTGAGACACAAAAGTCTCACCTCTGTTCTTTTTCTGCTTCCCCATCTCATGAAAATAGAAAGTAATGGGAAAAAAGCCTGGGGAATCCTTTTACAACATTTGATGAAAGTTCTAAAGCAAATAGTCTTTTGGGTCTGGGTCACATTGCTTCTACCTGGTTTCCTATTTTGAAATATTCTTAACAGAGAATAGGTTTTCCATTTGTTTGCCTGTGCAGTCTGTGAACCCAGGGCAGGAACTTGCAGAAACAGTCACAGTGGGAAGAGGGGTTAGTTCTCAGTCCTGGTGCCCTTTGGAGTCACCTGGGAGCTTGTGGCTCTGTCAGTGATAAAGTCTTGGCCCCAGAGACTGGAATTTAATTGGTCCCTGTGGAACCCTCATGTGATTCTGAGCACAGCAGGGCTGAGGACACTGGACTAGCATCTTTTAAGCAGAGAACTGATTTAAAATTACTTTTATACATCTTCAGAATAACTAGTGTCTATGAGGAGAAAGAACAAGAACTCTGACTCCCTTTCCAGTGGTACCCGGTTTTTTACTGTCTGGCAAAGCACGTTTCCAGAATATGGATTTAAAAATTGAAATGGTGAAATTGAAATTGAAGTCACTGCATGGTGACTAGGGGTTTTATGCACTGAAGTACAATGGTTTATTGCCTTATGGGTTTAAATGTTCGAACATGGTTTGTTTCTGGAGAAGTGTGTATACATTCTAAACAAGCAACTTCAGAACTAATCAGTGGTTGGAGATGTAGCAATAGTGGCAGAGTGGGGTTTGGTCCCTATCACTGGAAACAAAAATAAATAAAAATTTTAAAAAAATCAAGAATAACAAATTTTATGTAAGTTGGGATTCTCTTGTATATAGGCAGATATACATATGTAGATTATGTGTATATTCAGGGATGATATTCAGAATATTTAATTGTCACCACAGTCTGGATATCAATCCTGTTGTTATCCATCAGTGTGGCTGTGCAGATGCTCATATCTGCATGTGTTTGATTTAGTCCACAGTATGGCTTTTCTTTATATTTATAAAAACCTCTATCTAGACACACATATACACAGACACAGGTATACAAACACACACACACACACACACACACACAATTTCATATGAGAGGTACCAACCCTAAAGGTGTGTGCTTATTTTTAAGAAAAGCCAACCTTCTCACAGGGCATGTGGAACCTTCCAAATGGCTACTTTAAAGGAGGAAGTCTTACATGAATGTACAACCTGATAAAATATCAGATAATCACAACTTTACACATGCAACCCATCTCTTAGCCATGATGGAGGCCTTGATGTGGAGGGTGACTCCCTTATTCTGAAGACTATTTTTGGTCACACTGATAGTGTCAGAATGAACCTCTTCTAAAATGGCATGTGCATGTGTGCATGTGGTCAAGATGGATTGTAGTTTGGGTTCTTGTATATCCTCCAAGCCTAACAAAAGTTTGCACATGCCAAATGTTGCCAATTTTTCTTTGTGGTACCACTGGTTGGTTTTCTTAGTAACCTTTTTTAATGAGACATAGGCCAAAATGCTTAATGGTTAAGCATATCAAATAATTGAGCCCAAAGTGCTTCACAGCAGAAGTTTGAACCATGTCAAACTGATGTCACAGTTTCTGTTGACAATTCATGATATGTTACCATGCCTATGAGTCATCTCAACTCAGGGTTTCTGGTCACCAGGCATATGCTATGTTGAGGTTTGCTCAGCCTGTGGTCAGTGACTTTCTAATTGAATCTTCAGTCATTCAACCCTCCATATTATTTCATCTTTTACCTTGCTATTATTTTGTTTTTTTTTCCTGCTTCTGGCTAATTAACTTTTTAAAAAAGTTCATTTTATGTGTGTGAGTGTTTTGCCTACATGAATGTAAGTGCACCATGTGCGTGCAGTGCCTTTGGAGGACATAAGAGGGCGTTCGATCCCCTGGAACCAGAGTTACATGCAGTTGTGAGCCTCCTGACATAGGGACTGAGAACCAAACTGATCCTCTGCAAGAGCAGCAAGTGCTTTTAACCACCGAGCATCTTTCCAGCCCCCTAATTTGCTCATCAATGCAGTTCTGCTATTCTTTGCTATGTGCAAGGTATTATAGTATAGAAAATGAAGCAGTTGGGGCTGGGGAGATGGAGCATTGGGTAAAGGGCCTGGCACTGAAGCATGAGGACCTGAGTCCAGATCCCCAGCACCCATGTAAAGTCTGGTGTGGTGCCTTGTGCTGGGCTGAGGAGTTGGGGGAGGGGAAGACAACCAAGCAGATCCCTGAAGCTCAATGGTCAGCCAATCTAGTCATATCTTTGAGCTCCAGGTTCAGTGAGAGACCTTGTCTCAAAAATTCGATGTGGAGAGAGATTGAGGAAAGGCACTTCACAATGACCTCTGGCTTCCATGTGCTTGCATGTGTACCCACATGCCTATGTGCACATACCCACACCAAGTACATATACTGCACACAACACGTGCACACATCACAGTATTGATTTTAAATGTAATGGTCATAATTTAGAAGACGAATGACTTTAAGTCTCAGCATTAGAAGAGAATGGTACTAAGACAGCGTCCCAGATTCTCCAAATAAACTTGATTTAGTATCTTTGGAGTATAGCCACAAAGCAAGTCAAGAGGGGATAGCATTCCATAGTTTGACCCCCCCAGATGCCTTTGTCACCCAAAAGGGTCTCATTCCCTCTGTTCAAACCCTTTCCAAGAGTGGTTAAGAGAAACAACTTTGTCTTTGCTCTAAAAGTACAACAGATAACTAGTTCCTAATTCTTACTCAATTATTTTTGGAGACGTTAATTTCTCTGACCTTGAAAGTAAGATTTGTGTATTCACCTACTTTATCAGAGCTGGTATTCGGATCTAGTGAAATGAAACCAGTTTCTTTTGTCCTGGGATTTTTGCCTTCTTAGCATCTATCTCTGACTTTAAGGGGATTTGCTGGCTAAGGAATGTTCTCCTTTTTATGGAAATAGTGAGTGAAATGATACTTGAATCAGTGTCACCTTCATGGTCCCGTTTCTTTTTACTTTTCCAAGAGAATGTACCATTTTCAATTAGGTCCCTGAAAGTATCAGGATGGTTAAATACAGGAAGGAAATCTAGGGAGAAGAAACTATTGAATGCAATGAATAGACAAATGATGTTTTATTCCAGAGGTGCCATGATCCTCATTTTAGACCTGTTTATAATCATTGGCTTTCTATGGCTTTAACTGATCAAATTAAAATTCCCTGGGAATCTGTTGAAAGCTAGAACCTTGTCCCTTGGAAAATGTACCTCATGTATGAATACATCTTTGTGCAAGCATTTCTTTGTTGGGGAGGAATGGCAGTTTATGAACCTCGTAGATCAATGATTCTGCAGAATGTGGACTGTGACCTCCTAGGTTAGGGTTGGCAAACTCTCCGTAAAGGCACAGATAGTGAATATTTTGGCTTTGAGCTTCACAGAGTTTTTGTTGTATCTTCTGAATCGTGCTGTTGAAATGTGAAAGCCTCAGTAAAGAATGCATTAAATGAATGTTCATGAGGCCTGTGTTCCAGTAAAACTTTATCCATAAAACCAAGCGATGGGTCAG